GCCACTTCAGCCTCCCACCCTTGTCATGATCCGCCGCATCTTGCGCCAGTGCTCGACGTAGACGGTGAACACCATGTCTTGGCCTTTACCGGTGAAAATGTCGAAAACGACGTTCCTTGTGCGTGAACCAAACTCAACTCCCTGTGTGTGCAGAACGTCCTTTGCAAGGTCTGGCGATGAAACCACGACGAGATTATGTTGGCCCATTCTGAGCAAGAATATGTCACCGAATTTCTTGGCGTATTCAGTGGTTCAAATCATCGCCGACTTGGAGCCAATTGCCGAAAATCGGAACTGGAATTGGGCCCGGAGGGAGCTTGAAGCGTTTGCCACGTAGTTTAGAGATTACAGTGGCAACTATAATGGCGGAGAAAAGTCCCAGAAGGAAGAAGATCCATAATTGGAAGTAAGCTATCAAGAAATGGTGATTGTGCGGTAGCTCAAGGCGGAGGAAGTTCGAAGGAGATAGCACTGGTTAGGTGGATGATGAAGGCATGGTGGGGTACTCACAGCTGTTGTTGGTCTCCAATTTAACGGTGGGACTTTGGGGGTGGAATGGACGAGATGAGCGCGGTAGGTACGCGGGTTTGGTAAGTCGCACTCAACTTGTAATTTGAGTTGGTATTATGGAAAAGGCTAGATGTACAAAATATGATACAGAATTTTCTACAGCCTCATGACGTGGCAAAAGTGTTTGAAAAAGTCAATATCTCGGCTATGGGAAAAAAAGTCGAGTAAGAAACGTGGAAAACCAAAAAAGTGGAAAATAAAGAGGACAAAAGACAAGACAAAATGCACCTTTCTTACACAAAAGTTTCTCCAGCATTTCACGAAACCTTGGAACTGGAAGCCGAAAACTGAAATGGATTCATGGCCAAATCCGTTCGACGATGCCAGCAACTTCGACGCCGGCGTCGACAGGAGCTTGAGCATGAACCAAATGACGTTATCTCCATCTTTCGCGGTCGGAAGTGAGTGATTTTATGTTGAACCCGTCGAGGAAATCGAAGCTGATAACTCCCAGGCCGGCAACCTCAACACCGACGACGGCATGGGTAAGATTTATTTGAACGTAATTTTCAACTTCCATCTTTTTATTTTTATAATTTTGCACTGTAAAAGGGCTGGAAACTATAATTTTGCACTCTATATTTCTTGAA